TGCTTACCTGCGACAACCACGCTAACTGTACTATTCTTCGCAATCATGACCACCGAAGATGTACTATACACAGCTACATAGAGATCATCAGTTAATGAATTTATAAATATTCCCTCGGGTATACTCAGAGTAATGATAAGTACTCCAAATGTTGATGAATTTGAATTTGGTGGAAACATAAGAATTCGACTACAACCCGAATCTGATACATATAAGTGGCGAGAGCTATCAAGAGCTATACCAACAGTATTGTAAAATTGATTGAGACTGGTACAACTATTTCCATTACCACCAGCAATCACTGTTCCATTCGAAGATGGATTGTTGAGATGAAACTGTATAACACGACTATTACCATTATCACCAACAATTATGAGATTATTAGGTTGATCATAATAAAATGGAATTGGAATATAGAGATGCGATCCGCCAGAACCAGAGATGCCTGCAGAATTACCGGCTAATGTAATAGCAGATTGTGACCAAGTTGATTGAGAAGATAGAACACGTACTATAAAAAGATCGTCAAAGAATACAAATAAAGAAACTGAGATTAACAGATAAGAACGCTTACTAGTTGGTTCACGATTCTTCATTTCTAAAACAGAACTTGCTTGATTGATTCCACCTAAAATTTGTCCAACACTATACTTCTCACTGTACAATGAACAGATTTGTATCTGTTCATAGTAGGTTGCAGTTTGGCACATTGTGTAGGTTAAACATTTGTGTGCACATTCGGTTTTACTCGATATCATATTGGAGGTTAAATTAATTATGAAACTGGATGACAACTGTGGAATATAAACACTGTTTGGTATAATATAGAAATACGCTTGCTCCGTATTCTGAGAGAAAATCGGACATACACAGTGCAAGTGGGTAAACAGAATATACAGTATATATGTGTTAGGTTTCATTATAGGAAACAAACAAAGTTAATTGTATTTCTTGTACGATATGGTTGTTTTAAAAAGAATGCCTTTATATATATATATTCTGTTTTAACGAAAATGCGTATATAGGCGTAAAGGAAGTGTTTTATCCACTTTGCATCATTCTTCTTTTCCACTTAGAACTACTCTCTCTATCTTTATCTTATTCTATCAATGTTTGTTTATTGTATTCATACTTTACAAACGTTTTAAAGTAAGAGTGCAACAGCATATAAGTATAATATATCTTTCTTTCTTTTTTACAATTGCAAGTGCTATTTTTCACTAAAAGATAAACTTTTAATATAATGTATAAACGACAATGTATAGTAGTACATTAAACAAATGCAAAACAACCTTGATAACTTGCGTTGCTATGCTCACTCTTTAGAAACCAAAATGCACTTGAAAAATGTCTTAAACAAATTGCACTATGTTCAAGTTCTTAAACAAATCATTATATGAGAAGGGTGTAGCTGTAACATAAGTATGGGCCATCAAAGGGGAAACAGCTGATTATGTTGATTCTGCTGTTTGAAATTCGACTAACCAAAGATAAACAAGAACAGCCCAAAGAGCAAAAAAAATTGCCAATTTTTTATGTACTTATTCCATATTTTTTCTAATTCAAGATTATTTCTTTTCACTATTGTTGTTGTTGCCGTTTTCCTTGGCGGACTACATTACAATATGCTATTGTAACATGCCCTTCAAGATCCTCTCTTGCTTTCTTTATTCTTCTCATATCTTCTATATTATGGTTTTCTTCGATCATGATTACCTGAGTATGTGTGTATCGGTGTCATGCTTAACTGGCATTCACACTTAAACTCGTATCTACACCCACCTTCAACAAATTTTTTTTGTATAAAAGACGTCAAGGTGCTTTTTAAAATAAACATGAAAGATTCTGAATCCACTCTAAACGTATATTTAATCGTTCTTTTTCCATAAATTTGTTTCTTCATAAACAACCATCCAATCTTTAATATAAGCAACTAACTTAAAGAACTTTGACAGAAAAAGGCTTAATTTTCTTTCTTTAATTTATTTTATAGCCGCGTATAAGAATATTTCCTTTTCGTTGTTTCTATACTATTATAATCAGCATAAAATTTACAACCAAATAAAAAAATGATATAAGAGTTTTATTTCAGTGGGATCTATATCATATTGAAATAAAACTCCTATGTCGTATCGTTACTCGGCAATATATTCGATGCAACTTATGATAGTATGCAGTTAAGGAGGGCGAAAGACTTTTGTCCAAGTATGTAGTTATATAGAATACAAATATCACCGGTAATATATTATATTCTTTAAAAAAATAGTGCTGTTAGAAATCATGTCTGAATCTTTGGATATTTTGTCTATTTTATTGCAATAACACTTTTCTAACTAACGATCGCTTCCTTTCTTTCTGCATTAAAACATCATTCGTTCCTTTTCTTGAAGGTGTGGGTGTAAGTCTCTTCCTCACCTGCACCCACACCCACCCACTCACATCTACGTCTACACCCACCCTCTCATCCACAGTCACTCTCTATCACACCCACACCCACCTTAGTTGTATCCTTTCACACTCACACTGTCACGTACACACTCATACCCTTACAACACAGACACAAATACAACCACTCACCGTTTTCATTTTTCTTAGGATATTTTATTTTCTCCTGTCGGACTTTATGTTAGAAATTACATAATTGCTATTGTTTTTTATTTTTACCGTGATAAAGCGTGTATATATCTGATAGAGAAAGGCATTTTTCTCATACATAAAATAATTTTTTTAAGATTTATTTTGTATTGTTTTTATATATTAAGGTAAACAATGCCTCTAAAGTAAAGTATAAATAAGAAAATAGAGCGATAAGAATAAGATAACGAGAAAGAGAAAAAAGAAAGGTAAAAACGGTTTATCATCCAATGTTTGTGAGCTCGCGTCATATTATGTTGAAAGAAGAAATACGATGAATAAGCAGAGAGGGTAGAGAGAGTCAGTTGATAATGATGTGAAGTAAGTTACACAATAGCCTGTGGATACCTAAAATTATCAATTCATTATTCTACAGTTTTTCCTAATGAAAGTGACATTATCGCTATTGATTTTCATTGTTCCATTGGTAAAGTATGTATATAAATGTCGAATAGAAGTATTTCTCTCACCGTCAACAGTACTACGGGGAAATATCAACTCGTAACGGTGGATTTACCGGGCTTTCGTAACCCGAAAGCCCTGTCATGTTTTTTCAACAGGGCTTTCGTACCTGAGTTTAACTGGGCTTTCGTATCGATTTTGACTGGGCTTTCGTATCGAGTTTTAATGGGGCTTTCATACCGGAGTTTAACAGGGCTTTCGAATCAGTTTTAACAGGGCATTCGTAACGAATTTTTTATTGCATTGATACGTAAGCTAAAAGACTAATACTCCATAAGAAAACAAGGTATTCGTTGCGAATACTCTTGAGAGTATATATATGTATATATGTTTAGTTAGTAAGTACGATCCATTCGTAACGAATAAAAAGTCTTTTTCTTGTTGTGTTATTTTTTGTTCTTCATATCTTCTTTGTGTTGTTAGGAAATACATTTTAAAAAAAGATTAAGATGTGTTCATTTATATTCTGGTTCTTTCTTGCTACTCTTAAACTTCGTTCATGGTTACTTTGATAAAATACTTACATCAATACGAAAGCTCTGTTAATAGTATTTAATTTGAGATAATATTAACAATTTTGGCTTTACGATAACCCTGTACGAGCGGTACGAAGACCCTGCAAAAAACGATACGAAGGTCCTGTAAAATGTATAGGTACACTTTGTCAATACGATACGAAAGCCCTGTATATTTGTGATACGATATCCCAGTAAAATCGATAAGAAAGTGCATTAAGTTTTGATTACGAAAGCCCAGTAAAACTTAAAAAAACACTGGGCTTTCGTAACCGACCGTTACGAGTTGATACTTTCTCAGTACTACGTCATCATTCAATTCTATTTTTCCGAAAGAGACGTTATTTCATTGCTTCATGGGTGATCTCGCCTGTCGATTGTTTTTTCTTGCCTAAGCACCATGTCTTGGCTTAGAAGAATCGTTTTTACCATCGATTTGAAAGTTGACCAAGTCTCGGTGCGACAAGATTTTCGAAATACATCTCGAAAGAGGATTAGTACAGAAATTTACCTGTCTAAACCAAGTAATCGAGATTTTTTTAATCACCCTGAAGAATGGGGTTAGGTTATGTAAGTGTAAAGGTGTAAGGATGTGGGAGTGAACAGAAAACCCTTACTAACATTCTCGAACTGGAAAAGTTGTAGCATCTTGTAACATTTATTTTTGAACCATTTTATTAATGCCTACGTTAGTACTCATAACAAGAATATCTTTAAGAGTAAACACTTCTATCAACGTATTTTTGAATGGAAAAAGTACTTAGTACTCTTACTTTAGGTGTAAATCCATATAGAAATACAAAAGTATCTGTCTTGCAATGCAAGTAAAGTATCAAATAACTTTTTCAAAGTACAACCATAAACAAGAAGTACATTTCTTGAGTACAAGTGCTCCTCTTTTTACTTGAAATTGTGCAGAAAGTACCAGTACCAATACTTTCCTTCTACAATGTAAAAAAGAGAGTAGAATGATAAACCTTTCAAGCGTTTAGGAAAGTGCAACGTATAATAAATCCTTTTACCGTAAGTGGAATTTGTCATAAACCCTCAAGGGTTTAGTAAGGACGCCATGAACTCCTAAAGGATTTGTGAAAATTTTCATGTACGGTAAAAGGATTTATTATACGTTAGACTTTCCTAAACGCTTAAAAGATTTATCATTCTACTCTCTTTTTTTACAATATAGCTCACGAATGGTTCGTGTCATTCTTCTTTCTCAAGCGTAGCAAATAAAGGAGACGAAAAATAATACAATACGCTTTTCTTTTCAATTTTTCTTAGTAAATTAGAAATTCTATTAGTACAGCAATTACATCGTCACGAGATATTCGGTGACAGACTGAGTAATGTAGATTCTATAAAAGAATATTAGCCTGTGAAAACCATATCATAAAATAAAAAACGATAGAGAAGTTTAAAGTTAAAAAAATTTTCATGCTTAATAAATAGAAATACTTTATCGAATTTTATTTCATGACGTAATACCTCGTGAACTTCTATTTTTGGGTCTTGCATTAAATTGTAAGACAGCATAGATATGAAATAGAAATGAAACAAATCAAGTGAGAATATATCCTAGTCATTCTTATATTTTTAGAAAGAATGGGTGCAATGATGGACGCACTCACGTCACCGCCAGGAACAGTTGAGGAAGTCTTGACGGGAGTCGCGGTAACTGCAGCACTACTGACGGCAGCACCTGCAGTACCTGTAGCAGCTGCCGGACTATTGGCGAAAATAGTAGCTAAAGAAATGTGGAAAGCGATGCCAGCGATGCCAGCGCTAGCTGAAGAAATGATAAAAACAGTGCCAGTGGTAACAACATCCATATCAGCGATAACAGCACCCATAGCATCGGTAGCAGTTCCCGCAATAGCGGCAGTAGCACCTGTAGGAGCGGCAGTAGCACCCGTAGCAGCACTCCCAATTCTAGGAGCTGCGGCCATGGGTGGTATAGGAGGGATCACTTTATATAAATTGGCAGGACCTGTCATCGATAAACTGAAAAGATTGTTTTCGAAACCACCGCCATTTCCAATCCAAGCTCCAGACGCAATGACACAAGAGATAGTTATTCGTCAGGCTCGTGAACGATTAGGCATGGATGTTGTAAAACAATATAATTTTGGTGTAGGTGGACAGAGCGGCTCAGGTATGGGCAAAAAGTAATCATTTTTTCTTTCGTTTTAGATTTAAGATTTTTTCTTTTTTTTCTATCTAGGTAAATCTACGTTTATCAACTCTATACGAAATCTGGCTGATGTCAAGGCCTGTCCAGAGTTGGTCTATCGAGAAAATGAAGCTGCTCCAGTTGGTAGAGGTGCTAGGGAAGTCACAAGTGAGATTCGACGTTATCTCTGGCCGAATAACGAATTTCCGTTCATTGCTATATGGGACTTACCTGGTGGTGGTACAACAAGACATCCGAGTGCGACATATTTCGATGACAATATACTTTACGCATTTGACAGCATATTGTTGCTAACAACTTCTCGTTTTACTGAGGTAGATTTTCGTATAATGGAAAAGGCCTGTGAATACAGAACGCCTATCATTTTAGTTCTTACAAAAGTTGATCAAGAGATTATTAAAGAACACGAGGATTATCCAGAAAAATCATTACAACAAGCAATTGATGACGTGGTGTCCGAATTAAAAGACGCAGTTCAGCAAAAACTACGTGATGACAATCCAAAATTAGTTGATATTCCAATTTACGCCATATCGGCAACAAAATTTCGTAAAGAATTGAGTGGACAGGTAGCAAACGATTGTTCTTCCTTAGAAATGTGGCTTCTTATTGATTACTGTTTACAGACTGCCTATAATCGACGCCAATCAACCATATAACACTAATATCATTCAGTTTATTTTACAAAGTCGTACAATGTTTACTTTTTTTTTAAATTTTATTTATAATTACCAAAATACTGAGTCGAGACAAATATAAAAACTTCTAAAGATATCTGAAAGAATCTTGAGGGTGAGTGTGAGTGTTGGTGAGGATGAGATATAAATATTATAGCCACACCCACACCATATGTGAAAAGCAGAAAAATCACGGTTACGACCATGATTTTAGACGCGGTCATAATAAAGATAACAGATATATATATATACAAGTAGTATTCTTCTTGGACATGTGTACTCTTATCTTTGTGCGAAATTAACTACTGGCAGTCAAAGTCTCACCAGAATGAGTGTGAGTGAGTAGGAGATGATCATAAGTTACTCACGACGGCACTCACACCTAAGCTCAAAATGTCCTCACCATGCTTAATACTATTTGTAGAATGTTTCACAAAAAATCTCAATAAATCTTCTTTTTTTTATTGTCGCATGAACATATTTTAGACGACAAAAAGTCTTCAAGCTGACGAGAGAACCATCCAGAGTATCAATCGTAGAATCAAACGAGACTTATTCCACTCAATAGAGTACGAGGAGCTGATCGTACCAGTAATAAGCGTTTTTCCCCAAAAGTTTTTCTGATCATATTTCTTCAAGCGAATATAAGCTATAGGCATGAAATTTATCAAGTCATATGTGTGTGCTATATTCTCACTCTTTGTAACGATGAAACTTTACTTTCTACTGTCTTTTCTACGTTGAATATTTGTTTTTATATCTTCTGAATAATAATGATGGCATAAGTAACAATACAAATCTTTCTGTTTTGCACTATGCTTAGTATGGCTCAGTATGTATATTTCTACTTATAATTGCAAACGGTGCAATGGAGAGAAAAGAAGATGTAGTTTAGTAGTGTTACTTTGGTTTTATCTCTTACTACTTCTTTCATTTGGAACAACGAGCAGTAGTATACATACTGAGCATAGTGTATAAACAGAAAAATCTATTTTATTACTTATGCCATCATTATCATTCGGGAGACAGAAAAGAAAATAAAAGGTCAAGTTTCATCGTTACAAAGAGTGGGAATATAATGCATGCACACATAAGAATTGATAGATTATATGCCTACACCGTATATTCTCTTGAAGACATATGAACGGAAAATCTGAGAAAAAATGCTTACTGCTGTGTTCAACCCGTCGAGTGGGATAAGTCTCGTTTGATGTTACGATTAAAACTTTGAATGGTTCCTCTTAAGACATGTGATAGTTTTTATTTGGTTCGTGGCATTCCACAAGTTCCATCCGTGCAGCATGTACTAACTCCGGGATTGGAGTTCGCCATACAAGACATAACATCTCTATTACACTGCCGACATGCAACGAAGTTGTTTCTTTCTTTTGTAAGAGCTTCTTCCCTGGTCGCCATGTATGCTGCGGAATCGGTTGCACCGATCAGTTGTAGCATCTGTTTTGTCGTCTCTGTAGTAGCTATTGCATTGTCGAGTGTAGAGATCATATCATCTATAAAACAAACAATCTATTAAAGATGGAATAAATTTGACTAAATCATCACATATGTTATCAGTTGTTTGCCGAATACTCGTACATCTTTATGTTCATATACCAAAAGAAGTTACACACTTACCTGTAACAGCCCATGATGTATATGTACACTTAGGTGTTTGAGCTGCATAGCACTGATCATGCACATCGCAGCAAGCGCCCTTGCTACCACAAGTTAGAAGAGAAGCAGGATAATCGCAGCCGAAATTATTTCTTGCTTGTAATGACGGACGAGTCGTGTTTTGGGTGCTGACTGGAACACTCCAAACTATATTGGGTCCTAATGTTTGCAGCAAAATAATGATGATAAATCGACGTTTTAGTTCCATATTCTGGAAGTTCTTTTACAATTGTAGAAGCAGGAGTGTAAGCAAAAAAATAACAGCAGTTAATAAACTTGAGACTCTATTTAGGTAAATAAATATGTAAATGATTAGTCAATATTTTATTCTCTTATTGAAGACATAGGTAACACTTAAAAAGCAATTTAATTATGTATCAGTTATTTGATATTTTCTTGATTGATCGATTTTTCGCATTTCTAATTCCCCTTGAATGATATGGAAATGTATGCAAAGAACACAAAAAATGCAAAACATTAATGGAAGCGTACTATCTGAAGTACTAATAAAAAATAAGTGCTCTTACTATAGAAACAAACGCATGAAATATAAAATCAATTTCAAATAAGTTGTCTTATACAACATTTTTGTAGATTCTGTAATCTGGCAAAAAAACGAAACCCACACAGAAACTCTGACTCCGAGCGGGCTTCCATAGAAGATGTGGGTCTATCTCGATAGTCACACTCAGTCTAGTATGCACATTCATTCATATCCATACCCACACCCACCCACCCTCAAGATGTGTTCGCTTTTGTGTTTAAACAAGACTTTTTATTTTTTAAATAATGACAATATTCTTATTTCACATAAGATATGAATATTTATAAATGCATAGAAAAATAAGAAATATATACACATTATATCACTTCGATATGATTCATTCACTCATGTACGCCATCAATTATACAAACATGACTTTTTGGTTGTTACTTGCTTTGCTTCTTATTCTTTTGACTGCCGTTCGAATTAAAAATAAAAATAAAAAAAATGTTAATTACAAATGGTCACAGTTCTGTTTTCTTTTTCACATATATTGCTTGTGATTATTTTTGTATGCAAAGGAAAATTACTAAAAAGATGCTGATGAAGTCGTTCATAATTCTAAATTCATTCATTCGAAATAACAACTATAACTATAAACCAAAAAGAGGGTGTGAATATAGGGATTGAAGAAGATTCACCGACCCACCCACACCCTTATTGGTACAGATAAAGTAGGATATCTTACCAAAAATGAAATAACTGTCTGTCGACGCAGAACTTAAGCTGATTTAATTCATTACTATCGAGATTTTCTTGATGATTTTCATAATTGTTTTTATAATTAATAAACATTATCAAACGAATTAGTCACTCTCACTGAAACTTTTCAGTCACAACTTCTATCGTCGCTGTCGACCCGCACATTGGTTTATATATTTACATATGATTAATTCGATGAAATTTTCTGCACCATCAAATCGATCTGTAAAATATAATTTATTCTACAATCAATGTTTTTCTACTTCTTGAATATTTTTCATAAGTGGTCTGCTTACCATCCCATGTAAAAAAAACGATCAAAAATATGATTAAAGTCGGTTCTTCTGTGAAAAAATGGAGAAATCGATTAAATGTCGCATTTTTTGATTAAATATAAGCAAATTTTTGATTTTATCGAATCAGTTTTAATTTTAATCAGTTAAAATCTATTAAGCCACAAAAAATAACAGATTTCAAAAGATTTTTAAACTGAAAATGGATTTTGATCGATTAAACTGTGAAAAATAATATATTCTAATCGATTTTTCATCATCGAAAAATCGATGAAAATCAGGGGTTTCACGTTTTCTATTACATGGGATTAGAACGAAACCACACTTCAATAATAGCATTAAGAAAGAAAGGAAATAAAAGAAAAAAAAATAATAGCTTCGTATAAAACGGAGTCTCATTTTAAAATCACACACATACTCTTTTACTATACATGATGAAATTATTCCTTCTATACGTTGTATTACTTTATAGTAGCATCTTAGTTGTTGGACAAGCAGAAAAACCAGGACCATGTCAAGATATGTTCTGTAAGAGATATTGTAAATATGGCTATGTTATTCCAGACAGCAACGGTTGTCACAACTGCCAATGCAATCCGTGTGAGTCTGGTGAAGCTTTGAATATTTCTTGTAACAATGAAGAAAGTACATGCGAAAAAAATGGTGGCATTTGCAGATTTAGCGAAACTGGCCAGAAATATTGTTGCCCAAATAAATGTACTAAAAGTATTATTGGTGTTCTCGAAAAATTATAAACCTGCTACGACTTTCAAAGAAACATATTTCCATTTTGTTTTTTCTTTTATATTCATATCAATAAATACATTGCATAATTGATGACTATGATAAATATCTTGGGGGTGCGGTGGGTGGGTGTGGATGTGTTTAATGAATGAGAAGAATACACGCCCACATCTACCCACCCATTCGTTAAAAGTTGTTAATATATTAGTGTAACCCGCAGTGATTAAGTCTAGCCGGTGAACCAAGAAAAACAATATTTTATTTGAAAATAATTACATTCATTTAAAACAGCAGTTATAGCAGGAAACATGTCCACATCTCATACATTTATAGTGATGATCATTATCACTACAGTTAGAAAGACATGTGCCGCATTGACCCTTGTAAAGACCATAAAGACGATACACTCGGTAACCATAAAGTCGACTGGAATAACCATTTACAATAGGAGCACCACAACTATTATCATGGCTTCCGCTACATCGATTATCACAGGCGATAAATCGACAAACATAATGTTTGTGTGATGAGGAGTTTTGAGATGTTTTTACTTGAGGAAGATCTAAAGATACACGTTCAACGCATGAAACAGAATTGAATTGAATCATATAAACTTACTTTCAGTCATTGCGGTCGTCGAAGAAGCTCTTAGTGATTCTTTTGTCTTTGTATCGAACAAATATTCTCTTGACGATGTGGATGTGGAATGGATGAATTGTAGTTTTTATAAAGGGATACACACCCCACCCACTCTTAAATGTTGTTTATAACCATATAAGGCTATTAACAAAAAAAAAATAGAATTATTGTATAATACGTCGACAAGTAGTGGGTGTTTTTATGGTAATCATCATATCTCTATTCTCTTTTTGACTCATTTAGTAGGAAAAAAACAACGCAGATAAGGACAGAAAAAGAAAAAAACAACTACGAATAATGAGTAATAGAAAGCTTAAAAATATTCCATTTGTCTGTCTCTAATAGAGTTCGTTATCAATAAATAGTAAATAGAGTCGTATACAACTTTAATAAATTCGCTTTGGCGTTTATAAACCGAAAGTTATTAGTACTTGAATAAAGATCTCTGACAAACAGGATCAAAAATTAATCAGTATGATTATTTTTTTAGAACTTTATGCAAATGAAATACAGTTTTAAAATTTTCATTAGTGTAGTTCCTATTTTATTGAACAAAAACATCGATCAAATATTAAAATTAAAAACAATATATCTGTTTTTACTAGTTGAGATTTAGCCGCTTCTAAATATTGAACCAATAAACAGCCACATCTTTCAGTTTTAAATAATATTTGTCTGAATAGTAAAGATAATGATCGTTTCTTGTTACTTTTGTTGATCGTGTCTCAAACAATTCATAATCTTGAGGATGGGTAGGTGTAGGTGTGGGTACGAATATTTAACCTTTATCTACACACCCACCCACACCCTCAAATTACAAATATCAAGCTATAGGTAATAATAGAAATCTAAATACAATGAATAAAGCAATAGTTCAGTAAATCCTTATTTCATCTCGTTTTTCTTGTTGATCTGGAACTTTTTGATGATTGAGAAGTATTATGATCTTTAGCTGCCAATGCTAATATATAGATTGCATCGGGTATTTGTTTAGAAAATATTTCTAAATCATATTTATTCGTCCAAATTAATGAAATCCAACGTCGATGAAATTGTGCTAATATAGTTTCTTGATTTTGATAATGAAATTTTGTTGTCAATGAAAAAATTTTTGTTTCCATAACAATACTTTGTCCATTCCATTCAATAGTATATTGATCACCAAAGAATTGAAAATGTCTTCGAATTCGACCGTTAATCCATTGATTTGATGAAGAATCAAAAACTGAAATATTTGCGTTATATAACAAAGCCAACCATTGCATATGAAGTTTTGCAATTATTTGATTTGATGGATATGAAACTAGTTCAATGATTTGCCAAAGGGCAATTTGTGATTGAATTCGATATTGTAATTGTTGTTCACTGGAATCATAGACGGAAAACTGACCGGCTTTCAATATAGTAAAGAAATCTTTAGTGATCACATAATTTCCAGTAACATTCTGAGATCGAGCAAATATATTAAAGAAGATTAAGAGAAGTAGCGTACAGAGAGATGCTTAAATGAATATTTTTCGAGGAGTTTGGTTACGAAACATTATATAATTATTAAAAAAGAAAGAATCGATTGTAGACAGCGAACGTATTTATTTTTATTGCCAACACACCACTGATTATTCATTCATGACGGCATGTTTATAAGGCAACATCGTTGGTTACTCATTTTGCTGCTTGTCACATGTAATTATTCATGGTAGCAAAAATGTATGTTTTCTTGTTTTTGTAACAAACCAATAAAAAGAAAGAGTATTTGACATAGAGCGACAAAAAATAACAATTCTGGTGATGGTGTGAGTAAGATGCCAGTAAAATAAATATTCACATCCATTTTCATAACTCACCCTCACCCACTCTCAAGATATTATTATCGGATGTGTTAGGCAACTTATTCTTTCTTTGACTTTCTGACTGCGGACTCTGACGAGATACAAAATGAGTTTGGTATTTGAGACATGCTTTTTCTAGTGTTCGATCCAAAAAACGATTGTGCAATCATAGCATGTGCTAGCCCTACTCACTTCCTTCAAATGGGACAGAATAAAAAAAAACGAAAATAAATATGCGTAGTTTATATAAACATAAACAGAATGATGTTCCTGTCACAATCATGTCGCTACAAGTTTCAAAGCTAGAGTATTTACCAGACGAATTACAGATTATTTTATTAAAATATCTCAGCTTCTACGATCGTTATCTCGTTTTTTTTGGAATCAATCGTCGATTTGATTTACTGGTTAAATATCTGACACCGATCAAAGTTGACAATGCATACATTAAACAAGATATTGAGTCATTTTGTTCCAAAGATGGCTATAGACCCCAATGTATTAATCAATGGATTCGACGCATTTGCATTCATCATCTTGTTGATTTAGATTCATTAGTCTCCACTCGATCAGATATCGAAGCATTAAGTAATAAAATTTTGAATTTTATTGACGAGGATACTCCAATATATTATACGCGTCAGGAATTAGAATTTTTGTTACAAAAAACCAAACAAAAAGTTGAACATGATGAAGAAGGGATTATACGAGAAGCACAAAAAAATTGGATAGAATTATTAGAACGGAATCTTATCAAATATTGCTCTGGTTTTTAATGATCAGTTTCTTGGTTTTAAAACAAGGGTGTGGGTGAAGCTGAAAGTATCATATTTATACAACAATTTCACTCTCGTCTTCACCCTCAATATGATAGTCTTCAACTTCACGATATAAAGTCGAATCTGTGCTCGTAAAATAGAATTCTGTGACCCTGATAATGACAATTGTTGAAAGTGATTCGTATATTTAAACTTGAATGCAAGAATATTTTGATGATATAATAGTATGTTCTGATTTTAATGGTATACTTTCATTCCAATTCTTTTTATTTGATTTTATATTTTGATCTACTGCAAATAATTTTAATTCTATATAAGTAAATATTCATTGTTCTTTTAATTTAATTTGAGATAATTTTACATATGTCGATGCCTATTACCACCTCGTGATCGATCTTTTGTTTAAACTTACACTCGTAGTTCCCTCGTCTTATTAGTCAGAAGGTAAGTAAATCTGATTCTTACTACACCTGGGTGTTAGTGTGGATCAGAAGAATAGACTCACCCACACTCACCCATTTATTTTATGTAAGTATCTCTATCATTATCTAAAGTATTTGCATGATATTAGTTTTCAAGATTGAAATGAGTTTTTCTGGATAGTAACAATCATGCCTCTACATTCTTAGCATGCACCAACCATCTTGAGGGTGTGGGTATTCTATTCATTCCACAACTAAACCCACACCCACACCCTCAAGATGGGTATGAGCATTATATTTGTTATACACAGCCTCAAAGATCAAAAACTATCTATTGATTAGAAGAACTTATATGGATCGTATTAGAGATCTACATAGATGAGATGATAAAGAAATAATAAATACAACACTTAATAAAAATCACTACGTTTTTGTTCAAATAAATACAGTTATATAAATAAAATAATATTTCACGTACTAAAAAAACCACTCGAAAGCAGTAAAAAATCAAGAATATCATAAGGCAATATTATCAATACTTTTAAATAATAGGCATATTCCGCACATCCATGAATTGTTAAAATCACATCGACTTCACTATTATTACCTAATACGATTATTCAACCAGTTATCAAAACAATTGTTGATCGTTTGAACGCATGTCTTTGATCAAGCTAATTTAGTTTCGTGTTTTTTTAAATATCATATGCATATAATTTTTTACTTGATTGCGGTATGTATATGCTTTTAGAATTGATGTTTGATTCATTGTCAACCACTTTGTAGAAATCATTTAGTGAACCAGTAAATCTATTAGATACGAAATGACGTTTATTAAAAATGATTCTATATCGTACTCAGTCTAATAAAAACTAAGTACATATTAACTTTTATATTAGTAATACAAATTAGAAAGAGTAATACATATTTGGTTGTTGAATGAAAGATACATATTTTAAATATAGTAGTACTCATCACTAAATCTCTAAATAACGTCATATTTGTAATACTATACTTAACTACTATGACTATTTTGATCTTAATATAATATAATTTATCTTCGATAATTGTTTGTGATTGCTTGTTATTAAATAATTTTACATAAGTAGATAAAATATTTCACGTAAAATACGATTGGACATTTGTATTCTTACTGTTATCATGTAATTTTCATGTTTTTGTTTTTCATTTATATACTTTTATATGTAGTTTTTGTACTTGGATGAATTTACAATTAAGTCAAAAGTATATGTCAGAACTATAAATAAAACTATTCGATGGATTCAAATTCATAAACATGATTGTAATTTAATGAAAATATTAACCGATGAAGTATTAATCTATTATATAATAACTGTTTTTTATTCGAATTATATATTTAATGATATTATTACACAATTAATTACACTTAAAAAGTTCAATTGGATTGTCTATTAAATCATTGATTAGTTATACGATTATTTTTGAAGCGATATTATAAAACTAGTGTTGAAGAATCAATTCAATTGTAGCAGAAATATTATTAGTACAAAAATAAACATTTTTATCGAACTTAGATTTTCGTGAATGAAGATGAAGATAGAAGATTATTTAATACACACATTCTATTAATTATTTCCCCGTAAAGCATTGTATCGTCAAATAAATCGAAATTTATTATCGTGCCCACCATAACGGATAATTAATTGTACAACTTGCATTTTGTTTGTTAAAACTAATTGGTAAATGTAAGTTGACATAGTGACAATTAAAATGTCCAATATTAGGTTCAGATGTGACATATATTTCTGTCATGTATCGATCTTTTTGATCAAATTTATCAATTCTTGTAAGTCGATTAACATGTGAACATTTCGCCCACCACATATTTCCAGCATAATATGTATTCCAACCAGGTTTACGTACACGATCATAAGTCAATATAGCGCCACAAGTCGTATAATTTGTTGAAGATAAAAGTTTATAACATAGTTGCCATTGTTCCAAAACAAAATAATTTAATACAGCTCTCCAGGAAACTACAAAATCAAACGAATGTGAAGAACCTTTAGAATGTGCATACCATACGAACGATGCGTTATTATGAAAACAAAAACTTTCAAGTTTCTTTAATGTTGGATATTCATATAATTCTGTTCTTGTTTTATATTCATAAATAAATTTCGGATGAGCAAATAGATCGTATGCAGTCTTATTATCATTAATTTTACCTAAACCAGTTACATAAATATTCGAACTTGAATTAAATAATCCATTAGCATAAACGAGTGACATTTGTTCATTAATTATATTTTTCCAGTTAGGACCAACGATAGCAAAATGATAAAAACCAGCAATAGAAGATTGTTGAAATTTTTCAATAGAAATTCTTTTATATCGAATAGTTAGTTTATTTGAAAAAAAAACGAGATAGATTGTTAAACTAAAAACTCCAATACTTATGAATAAAAATAATTTTTTATAACATGTTGTATGGATATTTATTGCATTATGTTTTATAGTTTGCATAGTTTCATACTAAAAAAGAAAAAATATATTGTATTTTTACAATAAATAAATTTTAATTTGTTAATAGACTTAATAGAATGAATTAAAGTTACAATGAAATATAAACGACTTGTCGTGCCTTCAATATAATGCCACTTTTTTTTCTTTTCATATGTTAAGTATCCAAGGGAATAAAATAATGACTTTCTCGGAAATAAAAAGAAAAGAATGACATTTCTAATAATGCAACGGAAGTTTTTTTTATGTATTTCATTTTCAATAAAGAAATTGATTAAAAATCAAAATTACAAAATGAATTTAATGGAAACTTTTATTTTAATCAATGAAAATCAAATTCATCAATCTAATGCAACTTTCTTCATTTTTTTATTTCCTGTAATGTTCTTTTGTAAAGATAAAAATTATTTAAATGAAGTTTATTTCATTATGTGAATGCATAGTATTGTCAATGATAATAATATTTTATCGGCCAAAGAATTAATAGAAGCCGTTTTTCACGTTGTAAAGGAAGTTGAAACGTTTTTATTATAAAAATAAAATATTACAGGTTTTTTCATTTCATCAAAAGTAAAACATGAATTCAGTAACATATTACTTGTAATACATTTGATTGATTTTCAACGAAAAACTAAGAGGTGGGTGTATCTTTTCACAACCCTCGACCGAATTCTGAAAGGGGCTGTTGTTGGCCCTCAACGTTACCCATTCCTTACTACAAATTTCAACGGACAAAGCTGACGAAACGAAATATTCTGCTTCGCCACTTGTAGAAAACAATAAAACTGTCTGAAATCGTTGCTTAAAGTTTTTGAAATTTGATTTATTGTCACATTTTTTTAATTCTAATATAATGAAGAATTATTTTCGGAAAAATAGTATAATAAGTTGTAGTTAGATAGCGTAGAAAATTAGAAATTTCATATTTGTTCGATCTCTAGCTTGGAAATTCCATTCCAGAATAAGATATTTAAAAAAATCTACACTTTCATTTGTTTCGCTCACGTTTCAATCATATCGATACATATCACAAAATCACAGAAAAGCAATCAAAATATAAGAAAACGAAGGTAGAGAAGCATTATAAAACTTAAACATATTAAAGACAAACACATACGCAGCAACGCCAATAGGAGGGTGTGGGTTATAAGTAAGATGGGGGTCTACCCCCACCCACACCCTCAAGATAATCTTATGGCCATGAATGCATTCGTATTCCAAGTTGTCGTAATTTTGTAAATAAAATATATGAATCTTTTAATGAACCTGGTTGAATTCCCCAAGATGGTACCATTTCTCTAACTGTAATATGATGTTCAAAGAATAGTTCGTCTATCAATGAATGAATGGTTGAATCATTTAATACTTCATTTATTAAAGGTCCTTCAATTTGTGGAGTATCAATATCTAATTTAATAACAACATGATCGTGTGGTTTAGCTATTGCTTTTAAATTTGTCCAAGGACTAAATTTTCCCGATTTTTCACATCCAGTATTAATTAGAGTATAAACGGGAAAGACATCGTCCGGTAATTGTTCCCAAGCAGTTTTAGTATTTAATGCTTGATGTTCATAGGCAATAATGCGATCAAATTTAATACCAAAACGTTTGTAATGTTCATAAAACCAGCGTCCAGCATTGGCAGTAGTATCACCATTCCAACTTCCAAAATAAGAACTTCCCAAATCAATCAAAATATTTTGTCCTCTCCTCATGTCTGTTTCTGTATCTAAAGTATTCAATTTTGATCTTTCATACATCCATGGAAGTAAATTTGTATTACGTTTATTTGATGTAATCATCATTGGTACATTATTATTAGGGCTTGGTGTTGATGAATGAATATAAAACGGAGCTGCCACTGATAATAGAAAAAAACGTTTTGATTGTATAATTACTCCGTCATATACAGAAGCAGGTAGTGTGTTCACACGATTGCACATTGTCAATGGATCTCGAAGTAAACCAATAAGTGGTTCGATTAATTGAGATACGATGACACCTTTAGATGATATATTTGTTATTGGATTAATATATTTTTGTTGATAAAACATTCGTGATAGAAATATATCGCTAGATTGTTTATTACTTTTGGTTTGATTTCTTCCAAATTTCTGTAATTCGACTAATCGTTCGACAGCTAAAACTGATTTATTTAAATTGTCTATATTCGCTAATGTTTCACAAACGATATTTTGTAATTTTTCAATATTATCAGTCCAACTAGATTCCCATACGCTTGGTGTATAATTTAAAAAATACCAATGACAATTTTGATCGGTTTGTTTGGAATTTATTAAACAATTCGTTGAACTACCGATTGTAAATATTTCTGTTGCGATTATTCCTTGATGACTCACATAAATAATTGTTAAAATTAATGATCCAATAATGAAAACGATAATTAGTGGACGTGAAAGTAAGAAATGCAGTGTGCTTTGTGCAGATATCGAATGATTCGTATTTGCAGAGTAAGCCATTATCTGTATATTAATATATATAACAATATTACATTTATGAAAATAAGTAGTTTATATTAAAACTCTGAATACAGATTTTTCCAAAGTAAATCAGGATCATTCTCACTAATACTCATGGAATGATGAGTTTAATTTCTTTGCAGTTACATCACTAAATCGATCATTCCTTTACTAATGTCTAATAGTTGTTCTATAGCATTTACTAACATACAAGTCATGTCTATTAATAACCACAGACTTGAATTATCTAACTTCTGAGATTTATAGTAAACATTGAAATCAATGGATGAAGAAATAATACACCCACATAAAATGCTGTAAATTAACGAAAAATAGAATGAATAAAAAAACATACATATCCTTTAAAGTTCTACTACGTGTATTAAAATTCAAGGAAAGATTGTTTCTCTCAGCTGAATATACGTCAACCAACAGAAACAGAATGAATACATAAAAAGGCACATACATATATCAGCTACTGTCTTCAAAATACACTTAATAGAATGAATTAAAGTGACAATGAAACATAATGCCACATTTTTTTCTTTTCATATGTTAAATATCCTAGGGAATAAAATAATGACTTTCTCGGAAATAAAAAGAAAAGAATGACATTTCTAATAATGCAACGGAAGGTTTTTTTATGTATTTCATTTTCAATAATGAAAATGCAAATTCATCAATCTAATGCAACTTTCTTCATTTTTTTCTTTCCTGTAATATTCTTTTTTGATTCCATCAGTATGATGAAAAATTATCATGATTTTCTTCCGTTTTTTTTCCTAGGGTAGTATGATTGTTTTATTTAAAATTAGTGTCATACGTTTTCTTCTTTTTTTGCCACAAAATTGAGGGTGTGGGTGTGGGTGTGGGTGTAGGCTTTGTTTTTCGTATGTACCCATACCCTCAGCACACCCACACCCACATCCTCCAGAAGGATTTTAAATTCTGTCGGTTTTTATAGTAAAAAAAATGTTATTAAAAGTTGATTGAAAATGTCATGAAAAGGGATATTAACACAAATTGATCCATTTATGATGCTATGCCTATCACGTCTATGATGTGTCGTTGCTAGCATGCTTCTCAAATCTGTGGTAAACGAGAAGGTGATTTAGCTTTGTATACTTCAACATTCCTTTTAGTTTGTATTTCACAATATAAAATATTTTGGATTTATTTTTCAGGTTTTTAACTCTATCATATAAATTAAAAAAATGACTAATTATAATAGCAATATTCAAAAGTATAGAAACTTAAATTTTTTAGAATAAAGTAAAACTTTTACTCAACAACACTTTTGACATTAAACATATCATCATTCATTTGTATTATTTTAGCCTATAAATTTATTCTTCTTTCTTTTTGTATCAAAATCATTACATTTTATAACTTAGTTTAATTAATACTGTAGCTTCATTTATTTCTACATATTAATAAACGAAAATAAACAATACAAAAATAAGTGTCACAACATATTATTTTCACTACGGACAATACTTATAACGATAATAATTAAGAACAACTTCACTTACATACTCACATAAAAATTATTGAGTACCAACAATTGTTTTCATTTGTATTGTGCCTCGCACTACTTGATTGACAGGCGTCACTGTTTTTATTATTCCTAAGTTTAGAACAATATTTTTCAGTTGTGGAATAGAAAAAAGTAATGCGACGCTCAGTCCCATTTGAGATGCGCTAACTGGAAAATATGAAATTCGAACAAGTAATGGATATTCTTCACCTGTTATTATAAACATGAATACAAGAGTCATTGCAGGTATTCCAAGAATAAGTAATAAACTAACAATAATTAAAATACGTCGAATAATAAGTAAATCTCGAGATTGTCGGTGTTTGATTATTAATGTTTGAATATTTCCTTGCTCATGAATAAATCTTGTTATATGTATATAAATAAATAATAAACAACAAAATGGACCTATATAAATAATAACTGCTGCCGAAAGAATACCAGGAATATTTGTGTATGATATATTACAAAAATGATCATTTGGTGAATATATTACACCATTCAAAGGTATAAGAACACATAGAAGAACAGGTGTTACTATTATTATTTCTATAATTGGTAGAATTATATATAATTTCAAAGACTGAAACCATCTATTTTGAGAATAAACAATTCGAATAAGACGATAAAATGCCTAGAATTATCAAAAAAAAAAGAATATAGAAATTTTCTAATTTCGATTATTTCGAAATACCTGATTTACAAACGTCATGTATGACATACCAAGAAATACAATAGCTAAATATCCTGAAAAAATACACCATGATGAATCAAAAGACTGGTCATACAAATCACCCAATATTGATCGAATATTCATTGATATTGACATTGATGAATACATTACAATTGCTAAATATATATGACCACAAAGAACAATAGTTATTTTGTCTTCACGTTTTACATGATTATAATAAAGATGATATATAATAATAAGAAAAATTATGCATGATATCAAACATGCAAATGTATTAAAGCCAAGAGAAATCGAACTAAGTATAAGACCATTGGTTTTAGTTTGATCATTAATCATGGTAGAAATATCTAATATATATAAACTGAATTAATAAAATGAGATAAAATGTTTCTAAAGAACAATTAAAATGCTTGAATAAACAATATAAATATCTATAATAAAAATTATTTTTTTTGCCAACATAGACCAAAAATAAGATAATGAAATACTTCTAATAGAAACAATTCTTTATCAAAAATCTATTTACTTCAGGCATTTGTATATCTCAAGACAATAGAATACTTTTACCTTTAAAATTAATATAAATTAAAATTTCTATCATATTTTATGATGAAAGAGTATATAGAGATTATTTTTCTCGACAATAAATTACATGCTTGTATTATTTTAGTGCATCATTATGAAAAAAATATAGTCTGTAATAAAAACTAATCAAAATTACTATTGTTTATTAATGGCATGTTAATTACTTTCTGCTCGTGTAAATTTGTTTAATTATGATTTGAAATAAAATATAAATGCATAATCATATGGTATCCGTCAAGAATGTCCTTTAGAAAATGTCCTTGACAAATTGTACTCAAATTTTGGTCCTTTGGAAAATAGGTGGGGGTGTAAGTGTTGTATTTTTCTTCTGTCAACGCTCAATTCCACACCCAGACATCTACTAATGTGCACTGCTCCATAGACAATCTTCTGTATAATGAAAAGACATTGATCTATGCAATAATTATAAATAATAAAAAGGTTTTAAGAAATATAATTATTTATTGCAGATAAAGAAGTTATTTAAAATTAGAAGTGTACTGAGTAGAGCATTGATATATACATATTCACAAGTTCAAAACATTTTGAGGGTGGGTGTGGGTGTGTGTATTCTTCTCATTCATTAACCACACCCACATCCTTGCTGGTACCCATACATCAATTTTTAAAGCAATTTTTATTATTAATGATAGTACAACACCGACTTAGCAATTATGATAGCACACAAAACTAAACTTTTCACACCGGAAAACGGTTGTCATCACATTCACAATGACGACCAAAGCAGCAACAAGCCCAAAACCAATGGTAATAGGAACCACCACCATAACAATCATCACAGTCATATTGACTATCATATCCACCACCAAAACAGCCTGTGCAAGTAGCGTCAGGACGCTTCCTATAATATTTGCGTCCTTCCATAAAAAAACCATCATTTGGCGCCCAGTACCAATCACGACATTTACCACAACGAGTGCAGACACGACCCTTGCAAGGGAGTTTTTGGTGATGACCTTGTGTATTACTCTGTGGTTCGATACGGACAACTTGCAAAGTACAGGAATTAATATTGGGTGTTGTATCCATAAGAATACTTGCGTGTCTTATCAGAAACTCGATAAAATTATAATGCAACGACTACACTTTAATAAAGAACGTGCTATGTGAAGACATGTTAAAACAACATCTGTCATATTTGGTTAGCAGCCATGATATATCAGCTTCATGATTTACTTATCTGTCTTTGCCGACGACACATAGGCAAATAATATCAATCAATATTAAAAATTCTATGAATAAATGTCATATTTTATATAATGAAGAACTGAGAAAAAATCTGTTCCACGTTGTATACAAAATAAAATTAGATGCTTGTATTCATTAATCGAGAAGTAGCCGTTCCAGTTACTGAAATTACACGTATTATTGTAAAATTAAATAACGAGACGATTTAGTCACGTTGCCAATAGAGTGTGGGTGTGAGTGCGGATCAAAAATAAAGATAATTACACCCACACCCTCAAAATATATTATTTCTTCTCAGTTTTTATACGCTTTCTAATGGTGTCTATTTCATTCAAACTCAGCTTGACAAATGAAAAGAACAAATATTGTCCGAGAACTTTTTGCTGATGGATGATTTTTGTTGTTTTTATTTTTTATATTAAAATCAAAATGTTGTGTCAATATGGTATCATATGAAAGCTTACTCAGTAACTATACTCATCATATATATAAAGTTTAATTCAGTTGAAATATAAAATTTTGGAAGATTATTTCTGTTTGTCTCGCAATTTTTTGCGAGGGCCCTATTACTGATATCGTTAAATGTTTGAGGAGTGAATATTGTGAAGAGAAGGATGATTTTTGTTTTCTGAAAGACGAGGAATAAAGAACAAGCAAAGAACTGGCACGAGCAAGCGAATAAATAATGAGAAATTTTGTTTTTTTCCTTTATAAAATGGTTAAAAAGGATTCCTGGTCGAAAAATCCGACCCGGAACTTATCGGTTCCCACATCTTCCGACAACTTCCTGACGCAGTATTCCAGACCGGAATTCACCGGAAAACCATCTTGAGGGTGTGGGTGTGGTGGGTGTGGGTGTGTGTGGATGTGCATTCAACATACTTGATTAACTCAAACTCACACCCTCACCCCGCCTAAATACTTCAATTGTACACATATAATTTCAACAGAAACAGTTAGACCTAGGCAGCCTAAGTATTGGTGAGAATTGAAACCCCGACTCTAATCCGATAAGTAATCTTCCAGTCATCCCCCGCAACAGAACTCAGCTACGTATCAAGGCAGCTTTTTCATCTCCAAGATTTTTGAGCGGATTATAATCTAATGTATAATCCCATATGAAAATATTAAAATAGGTTTCGAATATTTTTGTGATGTGTTGCTGTCGGTTTTATGTTGGTACATAGTATTTGATATGGGTTCGGAGGTTATGTATAGTGACATCTGTTCGGATGTTACGAAATATGTTTAAATATGTCGTTGAAGAATTTTTGATGTTGATTGTTGTACGTATTTTGGAAGCCAGATATTTTATGTTTGTCGAATCATATCATTGGTTATTCTGATTTGGTGCATATGTCCAGGTTTTGTTAAGTATGCATTTGTTGGATTTGAATAACAATATAAAGTTATAATCAGTCATTGTTTTGTTTCATCGCTTTGTAATACGGACTATTTTATATTTTGTATCATGGTTTTAATATATCGTGTGGCTGTGATGCCTCCCAAAAAAAGAAGGTCTAAGAAGGGTTCGTCGACACAAAAGAAGGTTCCATCGACACGAAAAGATAAATCTGTTGTTGCTAATGATGGTTTGTAATATTGATTTACGAATTGTTTGAACATTTTCGTTTTTTAGGATTAGATGTAAAATTGATGAAAGAGTCTGTTGATCACGATGAAAATTCAGATTCAATTGTTGCTGAAGTGTTGAGAAACTTGATCGATAATGTTGAAAAAGAAAATCATCATATGCTGGTATTAATTAACTCGAATGTTGCTGAGCAGGATGTGATGAAAGGACAAAAACGTTTCTTGGATCAGAATGATGATAAAGGTGAGAATGAATCAAAAAAAGTAAAATATGTCAAATATGATGAATTTAATGTTCTTGAAAATAAATTTATACAAATGGAATCTCGAGTTGTGAAACTCGAAATTGAACGTGATGGTCAGTTCGACTGTGTGGATGTGGGTGGGTGTTGTTGTCTCTTCTCTTAAAGAGACCCACACCCCAGTTTCACTATTGAACATATGCATTCCTGGTGAACAAGATGAAATAAAGCAAGTTTAACTTTTGTGGATCTTAACTTAAAAAAGTATTTATTTATTTTAGTAAAGGTGATTTGAATACACCAAATTTAAAACTTGATCAACTTGAAAAAGAGTAATGGATTCTTTCTGTTGAAATAAAAACAAAAGATTTTCTTTTGTTATATTTGAAAAAACTTTTTTTTGTTATTATCTGGAAAAACGTTTTCTTGTATTTTGATGAAGAAAAATATTAGTTTCTCTTGTGTTTAAGAAAGATTTTTGTACATTTGAAAAAAAAACCAGATTTTTTGTATTTTCATTGAAAATCAAAATATATTTCTGTATTTTCATGAAAGAGAAAGAATTTTCTATGCTGTGTTTAAAAAAAAGGTTTCGTTTAGTTTTATTAGTTATATAAGGAGAGAGATTTTGTCATAGAGAATATAATTATAAGTTTTTTCCACACTTCGAGTTACATAATTGATATATGAAAACAATTTTACCGTTTTTCTCCTTTTTAATCAATTATTGAAATAAACATGGAAATCAGCTAGTTGATTTAGAAAAAACAATATTCTTAATTATTACTGAATAAAAACAAATTTCATAATTAAAATTATCATAAAAAACCAATAAACTATCCTCTGAAATAGATTTATTTTCTTCACGTTTTTCAACAAAAATATGATGTTATATAACTTCCACCATCATCCGGACATGTATGCCAAGCAAGACTAACATAATCATTTCCACTATCACTTATTTGTAATGATGCACCAGGTGGTAATGGAACAGTTCGAATAAGAATATCAAGACGTGATGTAGCTGTACCACTTTCATTTGTTGCTTGTAAATGATATAAACCAGTATCGTTACGTATTGTTTGACGTAAAAGAAATGTTCCACTACCCAGACAGACAAGACCTCTAAAAAAAACGCGTGAAAACGCGTTTAAAATTCGTAAATACACTGTTTTTACGTATCAGAAACGTAAAAACGCCGTTTTTACGATTTGTTAACGCGTTTCTACGCAATTTTTTGGAAAGCGTTCTATTGCGTTAAAAGCTACTCCGTATTTACTCGTTGAAACGCGGAATTCAACGTGGTTTTACGCGTTATTTTGTGAATTTTAACGCTTTAAGCACAGATTATCGACGCGTTAATCACAGTAGACAAGCGAACGGAGATAAAAATCGTGGAAATGTGCGCTTTTCCCGATTTGTTTTTTCGTTAAAATTTCAAAATTTCTACGCCGTATTTCTCCGTTTCTTTTTGAATTTTGTCTGTCTGGGTAGATTGAAATAAATCAAGTGTTTCACGATTTTCTTTTGATTCATCAATACGAATTATTGTTAATTCAGGTTTAGATAAATCAGAAAATGTAAATGGAATACGTATGGATGCATTAATATCACCAATAATTTGTTTACGATATTTTGAATCAATTTCTATTTTAAGTACAGCTAAAACACTTAACTGAATTTGTTTACTATCATTACCAAAGGAGGAGGGCGGATAAGGCCATTTTGCGACCCCCAATAGAATTCATTTATTTATATCAGGCTTGAATAAGGAGTCAATAGTGATCACTTTTTTCGACTTTATTTCTCGAAAATCGACATTGACCATCTTCATGGATGGGGTACCCCCAAGGAGGAAAAAGCGAGACTTCATCTACTTCAAATGTTTTTGAAGTACGAGCGAAGTAGATTGAAGTACAGCTGAAGTAGAATGAAGTAGATTGAAGTACAGGTGAAGTAGAAGTGAAGTAGAAGTGAAGTACGACTGAAGTAGAAGTGAAGTAGAAGTGAAGTATAATGAAGTACCAGTGAAGTATGACTGAAGTACGATACTTCACGGTACTTCATTGTACTTCATATCTACTTCAGTCGGGATTTCATTTGTACTTCAAGTACTAGTGAGGTACTTGTGAAGTACTAGTGAAGTATAGTGAAGTACAACTGAAGTACATTGAAGTACCAGTGAAGTATGAGTGAAGTAGAGTGAAGTACGAGTGAAGTAGAGTGAAGTATCAGTGAAGTATCAGTGAAGTAGGGTGAAGTAGATTGAAGTATGAGTGAAGTAGATGTGAAGTAGATTGAAGTACGGGTGAAGTAGAGTGAAGTATCGGTGAAGTAGGGTGAAGTATCAGTGAAGTAGAGTGAAGTATCCGTGAAGTAGGGTGAAGTATCCGTGAAGTAGGGTGAAGTATTAGTGTAGTATCGGTGAAGTAGGTTGAAGTATGAGTGAAGTAGGTTGAAGTATGAGTGAAGTAGAGTGAAGTATGAGTGAAGTACCGATGAAGTACTAGTGAAGTACACACTCCTGAAGTCTCGCTTTTTCCCCCTTGGGTACCCCTCAAGTATTATGGGAAAAAAAATTCTTTTTTCACGAGTCAAAACTAGATGTGCTTGTAGATTCAGGGGTGCTGATTACGAATATCATAATAAGAACTCTCAAAATGCCTTTATTTTTTATATAGCCATCACCACTATCTAGACCCCATTTTTCATATTTGGGCCCCACGGCAAATAATTACCTGTTAAAATTTACTAGAAAATATTTTTTCTAACTCAGAATTTCGAGTTCTCTACGAATCTAACCTTTTTATTCGGAAAAAATGTAATCTATAAAAAAAAATAGTACATTCCGGGGTAGAAATTGACCCTAATTTTTTAGTATATATCTTTATCCCTACAGTTTTCTCGTGATTAGTTCGTGGTGGCAACGTCTAATTTTGACCATAGTAGCAGTTTTTCGAGCTCTATCTACTGGTACTATCAAATAGAAAAGATCATGTGTGCAGATGCATTAGACAAATCAATCTTTGAACCTTTTCACATGTTATAAGAATTGGCTCTGAATGAAAAAACTATTTTTACTTGAAAAAGTAATAAACTTATTTAAAAAAATATGCTAAACAGTTCAGAATGTATAGGATGAGAAGTGAATGCTTTTTGTATTAGGTTTTAACAATACGATCGTTTTCGTTGCTATGTATTAAATGAAAAATACGATGTCTATCCATTGTATAAAATAAGTATTTGTTTATAAAAATTATACTTATAAAAAAAGCTATACTAACATAATATAGATACTAATTTACTAAGAAAATGAAAAGACTACATTATTATTTACAATACTCTCTAATTTTTATTTCTCGATGTCCATTTTTAAACATATGGTAATGCTGAATTCGGAATAACTTTATCGAAATATTTATATTATTTTAACCTTCCATTAATAAACTCGATGATCCACCTTATTTTAGTAATACAACGATTGTTGTTTGCTTCGGTAGTCTAACATAAAAAAAACAGTATGTTCTATTAGTATATATCTGAAGATAAGTCTGTGGATCGAGTGACATACTGTATATTTTTTCTTTGACTTCGGTGAAAATCTTGAGGGTGTGGGCGTCTTCTCTTTCAACGTCATCATCCACACCCTCAATAAAGAATAAAATGTATAACGCAAAAAAAACAACAGATGTAACGGGATTGACCCGGTAAAATATATACTATAATTCTAGTAGTGCATTTATAACTTCTTAGTTAAGCTTATAGGATTCAGACTCGATCCCATTTTTGACTCTCTCTCCGAATTCAGAATATGATTCTTTTATCACCACTCTTTGTCGACCTTCGTCAGAAGTGTTCTGTTCAGACTCATCTTATCTACCAACTTTTTGTCTTACCACTTTTTTCCTTGAATTCAAGGACGAAAAGCAAAAGAAAGAAAAAGAATAAGAGAAAGATATATGAAGAATGAAGGATAAATATGTTAAAGGAACATGCATCGAAAGGTGACACACCGAAAGGAAGGAGAACTAGTAATACGAAATAAAGGATAATTAATATCGTCAAAAGAGGTACCTTCGAAAGGATGTCCGTCATGTCTCTTGACAGACCAGTTTTTTACATACTTACTTTTTTAGCGAAGGAAAAGGACTCTATCATGCATTGCGCCTTGACGTGTTTTTTCAAAGAAATATATATATAAATATAAGACGCTTCGTGATCAAGAAATGTGGGATGCGCGTTCGCAAAAGTGTCAACTAAGAAAAAACGAAAAACTTCCCGATTTAGCGGAAAAAAACTCATATTTCTCAATAGTAATGGTCTAAATTTTAGCCAAAAAAATGGATTTGATAAAAAATTATATTACTTCTGAAAGGACTGAAAACGGGCTATCATTCTATGCATTTATCTCAATTTCGGAGTTTTGAACGAAAACAGACATTTGGGTGTGGGTGCAGGTGTGATTGCGATGCCTTTATTCTCGAACACACACCCACACTTACATCCTAGCTTGCATCCATACATCAATCTTTAAAGCGATTTTTATTATTAATGATAATACAACATCTAGTTAGCAATTAAGATAGCACACAAAACTAAACTTTTCACTCTAAAAGACGGTTGTCATCACATTCACAATGACGACCAAAGAAACAACAACCACAAAAAAAAATGGTAATAGGAACCACCACCATAACAATCATCATAGTCATATCGACTATCATATTGACCACCACAGCAACCTGTGCAAGTAGCATCAGGACGCCTAATATAATATTTGCGTTCTGCCATCCACTGATTGTGACTAGAGGTGTAAGCCGTGCGGCTTAGCCGCCGTCGCCGCCGATGAACTACAAAAATTTAAAGCCGCCGCCAGCCGTCCCTGCATAGGTTTTTAAAAATTACGCCGCCGCGCCGCTGAGGTACTTCAGTTATAGCCGCCGCGCCGCTGAGGTACTTCAGTTATAGCCGCCGCGCCGCTGAGGTACTTCAGTTATAGCCGCCGCGCCGCTGAGGTACTTCAGTTATAGCCGCCGCGCCGCCGATGACATTCGAAATTTTAAAATTTTCGAGCCGCCGCCAGCCGACGCTTAAGATTTTATTTATTTTTTTGCACATTTTTGATGAACTTTTATATTTTTATTTATTGTTCAGCTTTATATTAGCTATGTACTTCATTATATTGAGATGTAAAATGAAGATTCTACAAATGTTTATTTTAAAATATAAAGGATTGAATAATGACATGGACAAGTTTTATTTTCTCGTAATAATATAATAGTTTTTTAAACTTCAAGCCGCCGCGCCGCCGAAGCACTTTCGTTACAGCCGCTGCGCCGCCGATGGCATTCGAAATTTTAAAATTTTCGAGCCGCCGCCAGCTGACAACCTTAGAACTTCACAGCCGCGCCGCCGAACATTTTAAAAAAAATTTTAAAACTTGGCGCCGCCGCCGATGACCCTACCGGCTTACACCTCTAATTGTGACCATCAATCCAAACCCAATCGCGACACTTATCACAACGAATACAAGCACGACCATTGCAAGGGAGTTCTTGGTGAAAGTCTTGTGTATTGCTCTGTGGTTCCACATGAACGACTTCCGATATACCGCGATTAATATTGGATGACATATCCATAAGGATACTTGCGTGTCTTATCAGGAACTTAATAAAATTATAATGCTACTGTTGTGCTATTATGAGAGAACCATTTCTTCATGCTGTATCTTATTATCGAATGAAGAATAGAACATAAAAGAGAAAGAAAAAGAAGCAAAGAATGTGAGTAACGAAAACCAGATATGACGTGAAGGCGTATGAAGATATGATTGTAACCTCTTCCAGGGTGTGAGTGCAGATGAGTGTGACGTTGTGGATGTAAAGTAAAAGTAACCACATCCACGGTAGGGCCCACTCACACCCTATCACCATATACATCGCCATTATCAAAAAAAGTACTACGAAGTTCAATTGCACGATCATAGACTGTGAACCGTTCTTCTTCTGTTTCAGGAGTTCCATTACCTACTATTAAAACGAATGCTTCACTAACCAATAGCTGAGACTTGAAGGTAGTTTTTTCTTAATTGATGGACTAGTATTTTCGTCATTTATACTTTCACTTGTAAAAAATACTTGCTGCTTGAATCTAAAAGTAGATATGTTTCGTTTTATGTATAAACAACGTAAAGCGTACATGTTCTCCTTGTTAATATTTTATTCCTCTCAAAATGCATTGTCTCTATATACACTGACGTAACAACGAAAAGATAAGAAAGGAAAATATATATATATATGATGACTAAGATATAGGCATACTCTCAAGATTTTGCTTCTGTAATCTTGAGGATGTAAGTGCGAATATGATTGTAAGTACTCTTTCCATCTCATACTTAGGTCAAATTTATTTTAATAATGAAATAGTATTCTGAAGAAACTATAACAGTTTTTTTTATCTAAGCCAAATATTTTAGAATATTTTTGTCATCGGATTGTCGTTCAAGATATTCTTTTTCGATTAAAGTATCAATAGTTTTCTAAAAATCAATAACAAAAATTTAATTTCATTTTTAAAAAAGAAAAAGAACTTTATTTACTTTAATAACAGGAATTTTTGGTATAAAACGCGGAGTTAATTGTTGAATTACTTCTTGTATTAATAATGCATATTCTAATATTTGTCTAGCTTTCATTATTCGAACAATGGTTGCCTGCATGACCATTTTACGATTATTATTGATTGCATCATCAACGCAAATGCTTTTCTGGTCGATATATTTCAATGGAACATTTAGGTTTAATCGAAGTTTTTTACTTCACAAAATAAAAGAAAAAATCATATATTGACTGATTTCGATATAAAAAAAATTACCTTTTAAAATCATTTGATAATTGAATTGTATAATTCATATGAATATCAGTATGTTTGAGATCGTCATCTGTATTGATATTTTCGCATATTAATATTTTATTCTTCAACAAACTACTAATAACTTGAAGTAGTGTATCAAGTTTAATTTGTGTTTCATCATGTAGTCGTTCAACTGTCCAAGTTAAAGATTTATTAAATAATAATAAAACCGCCATCTGATAAGTTGATACTTGAAAAATATATTTTTGTGATGTAAAAGATGTTTGCAGTTCTCCTTTTGAATATTGGTGAAGCCATATTAATTTTCGACCATTATGATCATGATTATAAAAATCTATGAAACTATTCGATGTTGATTTTAACTAAAATGATAAATTCGATAGTAAAGAAAATGATGAATAATCATGAAGATTTTACTTCAACTGGAACAACGAGACTCGGTATTTCAGAAAAAGACCATGAATTTGAAGTAAGTACCATTATAGAAAAATCAACTAGAATAAATCATGTCATTTACAGTATTCTACCGATTTGTTTTACCTATATCAGTTATATGATGATTTTCACAATATTTTTTGTAGTCAGATGTTAGCATTTTGCTGACATCAACATCTTGTAACATTCGTTCTAATTTTGTTGTATATTCAAAACCACATTTTCGCTGAAAAAGATGAGAAAATTAGATATTCATTTTAGATTGCGCAGTTTGTGAAGTGGAGTGAAATATTTACTTGTAGTTGTAAAACTATAGATTTCTCATGATCGTCCGAATCACTTAATTGACAAATTAAACGTTTCGCTAACCGATTTCGATACAATCTTTCAAAAATATCTTTATCTTCAATGTAATTGAAAACAATCTACAATATTAACGGAATATTTAATGAGAAGAACTTGGAGAAAACAACTAATACCATGATTTTATTGAATTCTTCTTCGAAATCAGTTTCTTCAATAGTTTTAGTTCTATAAACAAAAGATTATGTCGATCTTGGTATGACATGAAGTTTTTTTGAACAAACCCTTTTTTCAATAATGCATCACAATATCGAACTAATAACTCAGATGATTTGATTGAGCTATCACCGGCTTCTGTTGTAACATTATTTATGAGTTTACCACAAGCCTATATAATATCATTCACAGCAGATAACAATTTCAATGAAACTATACTTACTTTATCGAGTGCAGTAATAAAAATTTGTTCACCATCAAAAGTGTCTTGCACAAATTGTAAGTATTTCTTGTGAATATCAAGAATTGTTTCAATATATAGTTTTGGATCCTATAAAGTATAAAACTAGATTAGTGGAAATGATTCGAGTTTAACTTATATTAATTACTTTTTCATTAACATATTTAATAGCATTTGTACCTTTCATAAAGATATGAGTTTCGATCAATTTTGCCACTTCGTTCTTTAATTTTGGGATTTGACTAATTGGTTTATAAAATCTTGTTAATTCTGTATAAAAATAGAAAAAGTAAAAGAAACGAAATACACTAAATTTCTCACCTGGAGAATTCTCATTTTGTACGATTGATTTTAAGTATTCCAAAATAATAGTAAATATATCTTGAGGAATAAATATGTCTTGTACCATGTTAGTTAACTTTTTCGATATTGCCATCTCTTGAGGTAGATAAGACATAATAAGATTTATTTCGTGATGAATATATTTTGATATCTAAACAAATCGATAATTCAAAAATTCTTTATTGAATTATGAAATTTACCGGTGTCAGATATTCGAATATTTGATCTGGTTCAAAAGAAGAAACATTTTGTTTGAGGTAGAAATCTTGTGCTAGTTGAAGAAATTTAGTTTCAAATGATCCAATAGCAGCGGCGTTGATCACATCATTGCTCATTAGTTCGATCAAATTTTTATCCACTGAAAAAGACTACTGTTTGAAAACAAAAAATAAACAAATAATTGTCTATTTACAATACAAATGGAGGATATTTTCGATTAGTTTATTATCAGCAAACGAATTAGTATTCCGATCCATACTGATTAAATTAAAACATGCTTGTGTCATACGTAAAAATAATGGTTTGAAAAAATTGTTTTTCCAAATTCGTTGCGATAGCTAAGTATTCAAACAATCCGAAAAAGAAAACAAAATGATTAAATATATAATACCACGTCAATCTCAACAATATCGCGTCTTCCGGCATTATATTCGCGTTGAACCCACTGTTGATTGAGATAACGGCAAGCATTATTTACTTTTCGACACATATTTTTGTAATTGTTCCAATTCTTTTCATATAGGTGAAATACATCATTATCTGTCATTTGATGAACATCCTAAAGTGAAAATAAACAGGAATATTAAACAAACGTATCTGAACTAGATTCAATGATACGGAAGAAAGCTTTACTTTGCATAAATAGTTCAATTTGTCCTCAAGGTAAGTTTGAATATGATGGTATAATTCACCTCCGACGACGAGTTCACTCGCATAATATGGGTTATGGTGACGTTTAGAGCGCTTTGCTGATTTAGATCGAGGTATTAGTTTCATCAAATAATCGTATGTAAAACTATAGTTAAAAATCAACGTCCCAAACAAAAATAGAAAGAAACTTACGTATATGTTTCCATAAACATTGCAGGCGAAACTTCACGGAAAGAATAAATAGAATCAATAATATTTTCTACTTGACTCTTGGCTTTATTTAGTAAATCTTCCGACATATTTTATACTATTTATTGAAAATATTCTCTGAAATAGATTAAACGACAAGTGAAAAATATTTTAGCTAAAATAATCAAGTAATTCATCTTGAGAGTGTGGATGTGATTATCTTTATTTTCAATCAATACCTACATCCACCTCAATGAAGCATTTATAAATAAATATTTAATTTAGCTAATAATGATTAAATATGTGGAGGACATCGAAATGGACATTTATTTGCATTAGGAAAACTTTCAAGCCACATATGAAGACATTTTTCACAGAATAAATATTAACATGAAGCACATGAACGTTCTTTCCAAGGAAGATCTTGACAAATAGGACTGAAATATTCTTCAGGAACTAATTGACGATACAATCACGATTAATACTACCTTCGTCTATTGATGGATTATACATGTCTATTGCTCACGTAACAACCAAACAAATGGTGAGAAAGAAACGTTACATTTTTTTTACTTCTTACGAAAAAAAGCAATGTATGCTTTACATCTTTCTTTTTTTTCAAGTACTGTGAATCATAAAAACGTGAGTCAACCATTATAACTTGGAAAAAACCAATGTACTGTCTTTTGGTGTAACGAATCAGAAAGCAGGGTGTGAAATAGGTGGTTGGGTGTACAACTTTTATACAACCTCACCCACCTACACCCTCAAGACGACATTAATATCAAAGAATCTACGAATTTAAGAATTAAATCATATAGATTAATTCTTAATGAAAATTATAGGATAGTACATCGTTTCATTTATTCAAAATATTTCTCAGAAAAATAATTGTCGCATGAAATTAAACTGTGTTCGATAGTTAAAAATATTAAGCAAAATAACAATTTATAGAACAAGTAAATCACTTAAAAAGATCTGTCGTTTTACTCAGTATCTTTTGTTATTTAATACAATTAAAGATAGAATTTCTCAAGTTTGAGTCACATCTTTAATAATAATTACAAGAAAATAGAGTCTTTTTACGTCACATTCAACAACAAAAAAAACATCGGAAGTGAATTAAATTTTGATGATAGAACATGAATAAATTTGTTTTTTTTAAATTACCTTACTCTTTTCTTTTACTCATTGAAATATAATATTTATACTATCTAACTCTGAACTATAGAAAGACTAATACAAAAAGCGTAGATGAAAAACTCGTTCGAATGATAAAAATTGAAAATGATAGCATAATTATTGGAGAGAAAAGTGAAGGATTACATAGAAATTAATATTTAAATTAATTTTTACATTGTTCATAGAGTCATGATTTAAGAAAAGACGTCATTCGAAATAAAAACTTATGATAATTAGTTACATATTCTATATCTATTCAGTGTGAAATTGAAATTTTAATAGGTTGAGAAAAAAAATGTTTAAAATAAGAATTTCTTGTTTTATATGTTTCTCTTTACCTCATTAACTTTTCTTTTTATTTAAGAAATCTTTTTATATTATTTCTTTGCACTTTTTTCTTTTTTGAGTTTTTTTGAAAAAGTACGTCTATAGATTGAAATGAGTATTGTCATGATAAATATTATTTATTTATTTATTAGATCATTGATTTTTCATAGAATCGATTTAATAGGATAAAAATGTTAATTTGGTTTAATTATCATTTACATATTTTTCTTATTTATATTTCAATACGTATTTCAAGTGAAGATATATCTAGTGGTTGGCAGTCATTCATTCATTTCTCTAGTTCAGGATTTGAATTCTCTCCTATTGATATGGAAGCTCTTTTCTTACAGCAGACAACCGCGGATTCTGTGGAAATATGTAGTCAGATGTGTCATACAACGGTACTTTGTCGCACATTTGATTTCGATATTGTATCACGTCGTTGTCGAATCTTTCAAGGTGATTTAGACACTACAGGATCAATTATTTCTTCGTCATTATCTCAATCAGTTGTTGGATCTATCGAACTTGATTCAACGCAGTTCGATAGTTTTGGTAAATCATGTTTATTTTGTCAAGGAAGTCGATATTTAAAATGTATCAATTCAACATGTCAATGTCAATCAAATACTTATTTTGATGGATCAATTTGTCGAAGTCAAAAACTACTAGGAAGTCAATGCATCAATGAAACAGACTGTCGTACAGATCTCAATTATACTTGTTTACCACGTCTACAATGTGGTCGTAAGTTATTTAATTTATTAATACATTCAGATATATAAAGGCTTATTTTTAATTAAATATGATTGATTTATCGATTCGACTTTCGTAGAATACATCTCAATTATACTATATTTAACTGCGCAGCAATTAGTCATTAGATTAAATACCCTTATCTCGTTTCTAATTAATTCTAAGTTTACCAACTGAAATTAAGTAAACATATATGAAGATTCTGTATCTATTTTTCAGCATTGTCTCTTCAAAATGGTAGTACTGTTGCTGGATATGGAAATGGTACAGCAGGTTCAGATAATAATGCTCTCAATAAACCATGGGGATTAGCCATGGGTATTGATAATTCGCTCTACGTCTGCGAGTATGGCAATAGTCGAGTCATGCGATTTCACGAAGGTTCGACATTAGGTATACGAGTTGCAGGTTCAGCTAGTGCAGGTACTGGTTCTAATCAACTTTATGAACCATCGGTGTTGTATGTTGATGCATCATCAAATATTTATGTGGCTGATGACATAAACTATCGTGTAATGTTCTGGGCCAATGGATCATTAAGTGGCACCAAAGTAGTTGGAACAGGTTCTTACGGATCATCACTAAATGCAGTAGCTGATGTCTTTGGAATCACTGTTGACTCCCATGGAAATATTTATGTAGCTGATACAATGAATCATCGAGTAACAAAATGGATTCCAGGTGCTACAGTAGGTATAGTTGTAGCAGGTCAAAATGGTATATCAGGTAGTCAAAGTAATCAACTAAGTTATCCAGGTGGACTCTTTCTCGATGAAATCCATTCGTATCTTTATATTGCTGATGCTGGAAATAATCGTATTCAAAGAATAACATTGGGTGGTTCAACAAATGCTACTACTGTTGCAGGCGGAAATGGGCAAGGATCAAGTAACATGCAGTTGAACAATCCCAGAAGTGTGTATGTTTCAAAAACTACAGGTGCCATATACATAGCCGATGAAGGCAACTATAGAGTTACAAAATGGGCTGTTGGTGCAACAAAGGGAGTAACCGTGGTTGGCGTTGATGGACAAGCAGGAAGTTCTCCAATGTTATTCGGTGATCCAACATATGTCATACTTAATCTGAACGAAACTCTTCTCTATGTTTCTGACTATGTTAATCATCGTGTGCAAAGTTTTAAACTCATATAATTAATGTTTAATTTTATTATACTTTAAATAATTGTTCGTTCATAATTATAATCTCTATTCAAGCTGAATCTAACTTTAAAATATTTTTTGTTGTATATCAGTCGTTTATCTTAAAAATGCTTATTTTTTTGTCTATTGAACATATTTATATTTATCACAATAATAAAATAAATAAAGAAAAAATAATGAACAGTTGTAAAAGAACAGAGAAGGAGTTATCAAGAGATGTATTAAAACCTATCACATTTTGCACACATAAAAAAAGTTTGAATTTTAGTAAAACGAATAAGAAAAAATATGAATAAATTCTTTTAGTATAATTGTTCCTTATTTTATATAGAAAATCAACTTTGATGAAAAATGTTTTCTAATTCAATTATTCTTGTCTACACCAGTAACATATAGTTAGTCATGGTCAATGATTACATAGATATGATGTCGTCATATAATAATTAAATCGATGATCTGTTAATTAATTCGACAATCGGAAATATAAATATTCAGTTTAGAATTCATCTTCAAAGTTTTACATTGAGATTTTTTTTGTTAATGATGAATTTTCTTTTAAGTTTATTTTCCATATGAATATAAGATTAAAACAAGATTGATAGAATGAACATCTCTCATTTTGAATCATAGTAATCGTTGTTATTCTTATTATTATTCAATGATTGATATTGTGAATAAAAATGATATTTTTCTTGTAAATATAACAATGAAAAATTATGAAACAACAAAGATGAATATGTTTATATTTAATATAAATTATCTGATGAAGAATTATTACTTGGTAACATGGAAAATATTTCTTATTGATAAAAATAAAATATTTGAAATTTAGTTGAATTTTTTCCATCGGTTAATCTAAAAAGTGCTCATCGTATGCTTGTGAAAAACCTGCTGAAAATAAATTATTTTGATGTATGTTTTGCTAGTGGACGTGGATGAGTATGGGTGTGGATTTATCACCCACACCTACACCCACACCCACATCCTATTTAGATTACCCGAATCATGGATTCAATGCATGGAAGAAAAATATTATTTTGATAGAGTTGTATGTTCAAATTCAACTATAACTGATCTATAACGAAATCATATTTCGACTATTCACAATTATATTTAAAAGAAAATTACATTTGTATAAAAAAGAATAAGATAGATAATTTCAAAATATGCTTCAATTTAAATTGAGAGAGAATTCTTTGAGTTTACGATAAAAACATTCACGTTCTTCAGATGTTGCTGGTTGAATTTCATCGATTACTGCTTCAACAATATCTGACGAATTCAGCACATATGTCGTTTTTTCAGCCGTTGAACATCTTCTTCTAGCAACAAAAGTTAATGCTTCTGTATTTGTTTGAGATTTCGCAGAGATCGAATGATATTGTGTTGGATCAACATGTAATATATTACCCGGAAAATGATGGTTTGTTTTCACGCATGATAAAACACCTGGTATCTGAAAAGGCTGACCGAATTTATTGCATGATATTCTTGGAAATTTATATGTACTTCCACCATTATGATCATCTTGTAATTCCCAAACTTTTTCTTCATATTCGCCATCTAAACAGTATGTTTGAAAACTATATCGATGATTATGAATATAAGTTTCAGAACAATCAATAAACCAATGAAAGCGATACTCCATTTTGTCAGTATCCTTTGTTTCACATAAAACCTGATACATAACTTTTGGCACAGTGCGAACCTCGACATTTGACCAATTATATAAAACGTTTTTTAGAAATTGTATACTTTGTTCTTCCATGCAGTTTTGTCGAGAAAGATTCTGTGTAAATTTATGTAATATATGTAGTATGATTTGCTACTTATGAATGAAAGCAGACTCATTTTACCTAGTGATATCATATAATTAAAACTCATTGGGAAATATCTCATATTTTCTTACAGAGATGAAATAAATCAAACAACAATAAGAAGTGTCATGAACGCCTCCAACCAATTTTTGTTTTTTCTGTTACGTAAATGATGCATTACATTTCTTTTCTTTCCTGTTCTGAATGAGTCAAGAAAAATGAATGTGATTGTAATGAATTTTTCTTCAAATTTACTTTCTGTTCTGCAAAAGATAGAGTAAAAAGCGACTTCAACCAAATTTAATCATACAGCGACCATTATATTATTGGTTTCATTTTTAAACCATTGATGATTGATTGTATAGATTTTGATTTTGACTGCCACAGAAACCATGCGATTATATATATATTTTCTTTTTTTTCTTACTCGTTACTTTGTTCATACTTACATTGATGATTTTTCATCATTGCTATCAATTAAATACTTAAAGATAGATATTTAATTATGTCTGGTCTGTGGCATAAAGATAATCTAACCTACCAGACAAGAATCAAGGTAAATATATGAAATATTCTTATCATAAAATGTTATCAAATATATGATTGACACAAGGTCTTTTTTGGTTATAGCTCAAACACAATAGTACAACGATGGTTTATTTTATTTGTATGTTACTGATGTTAATAATTGTAGTTTATGGCACATGTGGTACGCTGACGTTTTCAACGAGTGATTTTACATCCGAAAATGTTGTAAAAATCAATCCTCGTTATGGTAGAGTTAATAATCCAAATGTTGCGCTCAAAGATGATTGTGCATTACGAGCTTTTACTATTGAAATGGCTGGTTATATTGCACCTTCGTTTTGGAAAAATAAATGGATATCACTTAGTGAGAGTGCTTTTCAAATGAATGAATGTAATGAAACAATGTATCGTACCTATCGATTCTCGAATACTCGTCCGCCATTCAAGATCAAAGAGGAACGAAAAACAGATGCTTGTTATCGCTCCGTATTTGTCGATGATGAAACAGGTGATGATCTATCGAAGGGAACATTTGATAAACCACTGAAAACTATTCAAGCAGCTGTATCATTGACACGAATTCTACGTATTCTTCATGGTAGTGATAATACTATGTGCATTGTTATACGTGCAGGAACGTATTATCTTGGTACGAATGCTACTTCATCAAATAGTCAACTTGGTGCTATTGCATTAACGAATGATGATAGTAATCTAATAATTCAAAATTATCAAAATGAACGTGTCATATTAAGTGGTGGTACATTATTACAATTGCAATGGTCTGTTCATGCAAGAACAGTCACTGGTGGTACAATTATGAAAGCTCAAATACCATCATATGTTAAACCCGATCAGTTCAATGAGTTATATATTGATGGAAAAAGAGCTATTGTTGCTAAATATCCTAACGGTGATCCATCTACTCAAGGTTTATATGCTGCAAATCCGGGATTTTGTTTTGAATGGCAAAAATGGTGGGGTCCTAGTTCGAATAAAAGTGTTGAAATACATGTACAAGAACCTAATCGTAATGGTACAGTATTTACAAATTATCAACTTGGTATTGGTGGTGGTGCTTCGGTTTTTGACCCACCTACTAATTTTTGGAGTACAGCTTCGCCACCGGGAGGTGATAATTATGTTACTACACGTGGTATTACTGTAAATAGAGGAACATTACCTAATATTAATAATTGGACGAAGCCTACAAATGGTTGGATACATACTTTTCAAGGCGAATACTGGGGTAGTTGGATATTTGAAATAGCATCGGTGAACAGTACAGAATATACGATTATGTTTGGTCGAGGAGGATTTCAAGAAGCACGAGGTTTAAGTTGGGGTGGTGCATTTTATGTTTCTAATATTTTTGAAGAACTCGATTCACCAAACGAATGGTTTCTAGATAAAGATACTCGTACGCTCTATTTTATGCCGAATGAAACGATGCCAAAGATTTTCGTAGCTAGTCAAATTCCTTGTCTTATTTCTTTGCATGGCAATAATATCAACAGTCCTATCCAGAATGTACAAATACAAGGTATGATATTATCGGAAACGACGAATACATATATGAGAGAATATATGGTACCTGGTGGTGGCGATTGGGCTGTTCATCGAGGTGGCACTATATATTTGATGAATACAAAAGATATTACTATTACACATAATTTATTTACTCAACTAGGTAGTAATGGTATAGCTGTAATTGATTACAACGATATTACTTCTATTATTATGAATGAATTTGTATGGTTAGCTGATTCAGCTATAATACTTGTTGGTAGTACAAATGGAATCGATGGTTTTAGTATGGCTAGTCAACCTGTTAATACACTTATACAATCGAATTTAATACATGAAACTGGTATCTATGTTAAACAATCATCACCAATATTGATTGCTGTTAGTAGAAGTGTATCTGTCATTGGTAATCTAATGTTTAATATACCGCGAGCAGCAATCAATATTAATGATGGTTTCTATGGTAATCATACACTTAGTTGGAATGTTATGTTTAATACCGTAAGAGAAACAAGCGATCATGGACCTATTAATACATGGGATCGGCAACCATTTTTAAGTGATGCTAAACAATCTGGCATACCTTCACTCTGGCAACATTATAGTTATATTCATCATAATACTATCTTCAATAATTATAATGCCCTATGGCCTATTGATCATGATGATGGTAGTTGTTTCTATGAAGATAGTTATAATTTTCATGTTTATGGTGGCAAGAAAAATTTCTTAGGTCATTCAAAAACAGATCATCATCAAATTTATGTATATTCAGATATGAATAGAGGTGATTTTGGTAGTAATGTATGTCTTGGTTTCTATGCACCTCAGCGAGGTTACAGTGGTTGGAATGAAGTTTGGATTGAGAATACTTGTATACTTTACAAAATACCAATGCCTTATATTATTGGAAATTGTGATACAACTGATCTCTTAGTACCTTATTTAGCAAATAATAAAATATATATTCCAAATGGTACTGAAGTGATATTTACCTGTAACGTTAATGGTACAAGTACAAAGCTTAATTTAAAACAATGGCAATCATATGGAGTAGATATTAGTACTACTGTTTATTCTACGCCCGATGTTCAAATAATTATTGAATGGGGTCGTGAAATGTTACAGATGACCATTGTTTAAGATTTATTATATATACAAATGAAAGAACTGACGTTTTTCTTGAGGGTGTGGGTGTGGGCGTGTGTGTGGGTGTGCATGTGTCTATCTTTCTTTTCAGCACACACCCATACTCCCAAGATCGTTTTTCATAAATAATTTTGTACTTTCTTCATCGTTTTCGCATTCTGCGCTCTATGCAAAACCAAGTCAAAGATAGAGAAAGGAAGAAAATTTCTCCGCCTTAATATAGGTCGATCTGACTCGCTTTCTTCATATTTTGTGAGCTAATTCGTAAGCAGCAATATATTGAGAAGAAGTATATTTTGTCTCCTTTTATATATAACTTGTTTTTATGTGGAACAGAACGCAAAAGAATGGAGAATAAAAAACAGATTCAATGCATCGAGAGCTAAAAGAAAAGAACGTCGTTGTGTTTCGTCGCTCGTAAACTCCTAAGTAAGTTATGTTTTCTATTTTTCGTATATATTATCTGTGAAACACATAGCATGGAAACAACTTAAAGAAATATATTTATTCATTCTCAATAAAAACAATAGGTATTATTTGTATCCTCGAGAGTGGGTGTAGGTGTGTATGATGAAACAGAAGGCACCTTCATACGCACACCCCCTTATCTACAAATAATCGGTCGATACAGCCTCTTCATAAAAAGGCACTTCTTAGTTTGGAATAGTACACATTTGTATTCTTGATAAATCAGAAAACGTCTCTTTTATCAACAAAAAGAACTTGTTGACTCTTTGTTCAGTTCTCTCAAGACTAGTGAAATAGAGCTTTTCACGTTCTCCAACCGTTCAAAATCTAACTTGCTTGACCTGATTCTTTTAATTTATTTCTATTCAAAATCAAGAATATTTCAGAAAAATATTGTTGCTACTTGAGTTTCATTTATTTTAAACGCTTGTGTGTTTTTTCGTACTTGATCATGGATACCGGAGTATTCGACCGTTCATTGGAGGAGGACTTATAACGCTACTATCGGAAGAATCTCGTACTTGATTAAGCCGATTAAGTGTACCGTCAATCGACGTCGTGCCTTGGATAGTATCCACGACTTTGACTTGACCTTCATTCCATATAAGACAACAGAGCAAGGGATAATCATCGGTGGCAAATGAACTGATTACATCCTTTATTTGTCGGCCACAGTACTTATTCAACATGACCAGGAGTCTACAAAGAACGTTGAAGCATACAGTTAGACAATTAAAAGAATTCACTCAATTATTGAGAAATGCTATCTGCGCATCAGGTCATACATATCCAGAAGAAACTAATAATAAATATCAAAACAACCCTAACTAGCACTTTGTCACTTGTTCTCACTTCTGAACTATTTCTTTTGTATTATATATTAGAAGTATTATTTAGTCCTCGTATTGAAGTAAGTTCAATAGTAGAAATCATCTCACTTACCCAGTGTAGTTTATATCACTTGTTCGATTCCATGGCCAAATGGTAAAGTTTTCATCAAGGCAACTGGCGATTTTATCCGTACATAGCACTCTTTCGCAGAAGATATGTGTTGCTACGCTTCGATCATGGTGTATGTAGAGAATCAATGGACGCTGTTATAGAAGTAATTGAAATCAAATTCACATTTGATTCGTAACAGAAAACAAAATAACTTACGCGATCGGGGCTTATCATAGATACTATAGCATCATCCAATGGACCGCAATCGAATTCCAGTTTCAGAAATGGATACCGTTGAGCTAAAACCTGTGTGAACCGTTCTTGAACAGTTCGCACATCATCTGCTAACGGATTTTCGCTATCGCTGAGATCTAACACTAGAAATTGTTTGTTCTTCAGGTGTATCTTGATATCAATTGCAACTTACTCTCGTCATAACCTTTGAACATTGTATTCGAATCAGCTTCATTGATGAAGTCGATTAGAAAATCAGCGGTGGAAGATCCCGTTGTGTCTTGTCTCTCCATTTCAGTCCAGATTGATCTTATTACGAATACACGCACAAATACTTTCCATCTGAAGAAGAATGGAAAAGTATACAAACGTTCCGAGGTATGTTCAAGTTTTCTCGAAAAAATGGCAACTTCTGTAATTATCCATACGATACAACAGAATCATGGAAGAATTTTTCATCATCTTGAGAATGTGGGTGGGTGCAAGTATAGAGATAGTAAAACACTCACACATACCCTCTATATATATGAGAACTTTTACGTGTTTTCCTTTCTCTTATATATTTGATGGATATTGAAAACACGGTCTTGTATCGACGAGTTGAATTGGTATGGAATGTAAATATGTTGCCTTTCATATGAAATTATATAAATCTACACCTAGATGATACTAGTTGCCTCCAAAATATAATATTTGTCTATTCTTTCATTGAGAAGGAAAATAGATAACTAACAAATAAATTTTTTTAATCTTACCTTGTAGGAGAAGATGTTGGAAACTGAGTTATGATCAAAATAACGTTTTTTTTCACATATATATATATGTATGTATATTAGAGAGTATTCTGGGAAAAAACCTAATGTTTCTTTCCCGAAAAAAAACTCATTATTTATCCCCGGAAAAGGACTAACAAAAAAACAACTCTTTATTTCTTTCTCGGAGAAAAACTAACAAAACAATAACTCTTTATTTCTTTCTCGGAAAAAAAAACAGTCTAGACATGGAAAAAATATAAGTGATGACGATTTTTTTTATATTAATGTGATTCGAAACCATGCTGAGAGTGTGGGTGTGACTAGGCATGGCTAGACTGTGATCGTGTGATGAATACCTCATCATGTATATTCTAAGAACAAAAAAAATCAAATGAATATGAATGAAAAAACAACAACAAGAAGACGAACGCATATGAATGCAAAAACAGAAAGGAAGAAAGAATGTGTATATGATATAGAACAAAGAAGAGCACCAGATGAAATGTATAAAACATCCAAAATACAGGGAAGATAGAGTGGCTATGTATGTATGAGAAAGAGGAAAAAGTGAGAGGAATATGAATGCAAGCAGATGCATGGAAGAGGAAAGAGAGTATATCATTGTTAGATGTTAATTTATTCCATAATTGAACACTAATCCATATAGAAAGAGTGATGACACATCATCGTCACACACCCTCACATCTATCTAAGAACTGCAGTATTTTATAAATCTATTAAATTTTCTTTTCTATGCTTATAACATTCATAATCGTAGCAAATCAAGCAGTTGGGACTGTTTATGATGTTTCTTTTTAAAATTTCCAAATGTAACCGTTACAACAACCAAAATAAACAAGAAGAATTACTTCTTTTATCATAATTTCACCTTTACTCCATTCACATTCTGCTTTTTTATTATTAAACAAATTATATGATGAAAATCAGCGAAGATTGTGGAGTATAAAAACGATTTTCTTCTTTCCTTCATCAATTTTTCATGACTCACTGGGAAAAAATTCTTTTTCTTCATCTCTTTTTGGGTTCTTTTACGACATTACATGGATATTTCCATTGACGTGGTGAGTTTCTTTTGTATATAAAGTAACGTCGAAGTTACTTATTGTCAATTTAAAATCTAATAATCATTAAGAAACTATGTCTTCAAATTCTTGGAACGATTTTCAGCATGAACATGCAGGTGAAGGTTTAGATCAAACGGACATGTCAGAGATGTACCATGCTGATCAAGATGCAGGTGAATCAAGCACTGAATTAACGTCTACAACAGATATGAATAATGCATCTGAAGATCTTACCAATGAGGATAACAATTCAGCTCAAACGACTGAAGCAGATTCCAATCTAGATAACAAATCGAGTATCAACAATGGAAACGAAGAAATTTCAAACTCAGGAAACCAATGGAATGACTTTGAACATCAACATGCAGGCGAAGGTTTAAATCAAACAGAAATGTCAGATATGTACCATGCTGAGCAAGATGCAGGTGAGTCTAGCAATGGATTACCGTCTACAACAGATATGAATGATACATCTGGAGGTCTTACGAATGATGATAATAATTTACCTCAAACGTCTGAAGCAGACTCTAATCCAGATAACAGATCGAATATCGAAAATGAAAATGAAAATGAACAAAATCCAAAGTCAGGAAACCAGTGGAATGATTTTCAACATGAACATGTAGGCGAAGGACTTAGTCAAGCGAATATGTCAAAGCTGTATCATGATAAACAAAATGCACAGAACCCCGAACACGACACAACTTTTAATTCATATACCACTGAGACACCAGTAGAGCAACTCGACAACAGATCGATTTCATCGAACAACACGTTTCATATGGGCGCTGAGAATGTAAATACTAACGCTGAAGAACCATCCAAAAACGAGTCGACTAGCAAAAATAATAATGATTCAATTGCAGCTAACCCTTGGAATGAATTTCAGCGTGAACATAAAGGCGAAGGAAAAACATCTTCAGAATTAGCTGAAATATACCAGGAAAAACACGATACATCCAGCTCACCAAAGCCGAACTCTACAAATGAACATTCGATACAATGCAATGGATCAAGTGATAATAATATCAACGATGTTAACAACAATCTTTCAGACCAGTCACAAAATCAATTAAATGATCCACCGAAAAATAATAGCAACAATCAAATCAATGAAGAGTTATCTTCATCTTTCTTACAAAATAAGTGGAATCAATTTGAACATGAACACAAAAACAAAGGATTAACAAATCAACAAATGGCTGCTCT